CAACAACAACAACAACAACAACAACAAAACATTTATTTACTGGCCCATATTTGGAATTCCTTCAAAACATGCTTTTAAAACTTATCTGGACCCCTGATTGAAGTGTGACTCTGTATTTAAAGGAGACTGTGCTGTATTGTTGTGTACAAATGTCTAAGTGAGGTATTACAATCTCTGCCTGAAACACATTCCACCCCCTCCCCCTCCCATACAAACACACCCAGACTCTTGCCAGCCACTTTAGGGAGTGACTTGACTGGAGGTTTCTGTTTACATGATACCTTCGTTTTTACAGGGGTTTCATTAACATTTTCAGCTGGAGGGAAACTGGTTTTCACAGGAAGGCAAAAACTCTTTGAACTGAACTTCTTTGTAAGATTAACTTTCTGCGAGATGGTCAAACCAGTCAGGCAAAATCATGCTCACAACTGTTGAATTTGTCCGGTGCCTGGCCCTTAATAAAATCCCTGTTCATACTCATGACACTTCTCACTGACCTTGTTTAGCTACTTCTGAAATGTGTTCATATTTTTCAGAAGCTGTTTGCTGAGCTGTCTCTGCCTGGAGTGAACAAAAGAAAACAGAACTTAACAAAAGCACACAACCTACAGACAGTGGATAACTCAATACTCAATACCAACATACATGGACATGTTCCCCTTAATTTTCGCCTGAATTGTTAACCAAAGGTAGTGACCTCAAACGTGACTTTTCATGGCAATAACAGATACAACAAGCTGAACTGAAGTGATCTGATATTTGTTTCTGATCACCCTCACCCTCACTTCAATAGGAATGCATTACTCCGCTGGTTGTAACATAAATTATTTCAACAAGATTTATCCCTTTTTTTTCTTCTTTTACTGAGACAGAGGGAAGTCCAAAGTTGCCTCCTTTCAGAGCTAGCAACAGAAAAAAGGAAGGCTTCTAAATCCAAAAGAAACAAAAGTCATTATATTCAGAACTTTATGGTATTGTGAGGTTTCCCAAAACACAGCGTGTGACTTTTGCAGACTGCAGATTACAGACTTGTTAACTAAAATCATATTCCTGTTTTCATTACTGAGAGCAAACCATTAACAGGCTAATCTGAGCACTATTCAGGCTAGCCTGACAGATACTCAGGCTAATCAGAGTGCTATTTAGGCTTAAATATTATAGTCTGCAGTTGACTGCAGTCTGCAAATGCCATACACCACCCAAAAGGCAAGTTTTAAACTTTCCATGCAAACTGTTCCACATAAAAATGTTTAAATTACATGTACATGTATTCTTCCCAATGTCTTTCGCGTCAAATATCATTTGAAATAGTCCAATAAAACTAATTCCCCATGATCCCTCATTATTTTAATAGTATTAACACAAATCACATGTTCATGTATATTGTACTTACTGCTGCGACTTCTTTGCCCTTTACCCTTGCCTTGTCCAGGGCCTTGTTAGCATTTTCATAGTCAGCTAAACATCTCGTCCTGCGATACAACAAGTTCTTTGCAGCCTCCGTGTCTCTCACGTAATATCTCAGTAGGTCAGAAGTTTTCAGATCTTGGTCAGAGGCAACACGGCCCTCCAATTTACGAGCTTTCTCAAAATATTCAGAAACCTGAAAAAGATTACATCATATGAGAAAAAATTGGTTGGTTGATTCTGCTCACCACTGTTAATGTCAAGTTCACACTAAATCAAATCCTTGACTTCATGATTTTCTTTATTCTTGTCACCTGTCTGCTTGACAGTAATTACTTAGACATGAGGAGAATTAAGATTCTGGCCATTCTTGAGATTACACACTGTCAGGAGACTGACTTCATTCAGTACCTTATTCAGGAATCTATCTATATCCATGTATTCACTAGTGCCCATCTGCGAAATACAACTTGAGATCCTGATGAAGGTGTCAGCAGCATTCTTGTGTGTCTTTGTCATACGGTCTGCTTGACGAGTAGCATCCTTTAACCTAAAAACACACCAAAATGCTCAAATCTCTGTTTCAGCAAAACTTAAACAAAAACTTTACAAAATTATCTGAAGCTTGTGTTAGGAAAGTTCTTCTCAT